AGACTGCACCTCACTCTAATTTGCAGGGAAAGATTTCTGTGCAAAGCTTCTATTTAAAAGGCAATAATTCGGCCATCAGATCCGTCCGAGTTTAGTGAAATGACCCACAAGGTTTCAGGGTGAGACACAACATAAATTAAAAGAAGATCAAATCCTGAAAAAATTATTTGAGGGCCGTAGGAATTCTTTGTCGTCCACAATGTTGGCTAACGGATGCAAGTGTAACCAGAAAGATGATAAAGAAAAGCAATGGCGCCCAATAGGCAAACCAAGTTATAAATGCAATTATCATGGTTTGACGTGAGATCTGAGGAAGATGTGTGGTTATAAGAGTGAAAACGTCAATAAACAAACATGAAAAGCGATCACCAACTAAAAGCATAAAAATTTGTTCTAGGATATGTACCAGGGGCCTCAGATCTAACCCCCAAAACCCTTCTCTCAGTCGCAAATAGTGTATAAAGCATAATTTTGCGTCTTTTAGAAATGAAAGACTAAATAGATTAAGAGTGAGAAAGATACTCTTTCATGCTGAGGAAATCGATTTTGCTCTGACCCCATTAGATATGAGCTGGACAGGGCTGTTGCACTCTACTGGGACTGTGAGGTGAGGTTTGTGGGCACTTGCTTAAGGCAGGATCCTTCTCACATTTCTTCTTCACAAGCTGACACCGCATGGATGTCTTCAAGTGAAGAGAGGGAGGAGAATATTAATTAATTTATGGCAACAATCAAAGGACAAGGAAAGACAAAAGCGAAAAAGATTCAAGTGAGAAAAAGCGATCGACAAGGGCGATACTTTATATTATTAACATTATTACTGGAAAAACACGCATACTGCGGACATTAAATTAAGAGTTTAATTATGCCAATTAAAATTACTTTAATTGAAAACCGATAATAAAGTTCCTAAATTATAAGGTGTTTTTATTTTTACTGCATACGGAAACTTTTCCGATTCATCTATCTATTGTCAAATAGGGATGGCAATGGATAATATACTGCTCGTTTCCATATTTGTGTTAATTGAATTTATAATATAAATAATGTTTTTATTGATTATGAGAAAAGTCAGTTTTAAGGGTTGAATAGTGTTAATATAAAAATTTATACTTTTTTAAGTAGAGAGTATCGGAGAATAAATATATGATATTTTTATATTGATTCATCTCAACAAGATATAAATATTTTTTTAATAAATTATTTTTGACTGACAATTAAATGTTTTTTGAATTGTCTCTTGAAGCAATTTATTCAAATATTATTTTCACACAAAACCTTTCTAGACTTTAACAAGTATTTTTTTGTAATCAAGCCTCTTTAAGCTTAAACAAGTATTTTTTTATAGACAAGTCTTTTTAAGTTCAAACAAGTATGTTTTTTTGCAAACAAACTTCTTTAAGTTCAATCAAGTATTGTTTTGTAGAAAAGTCTCTCAAGACTCAAACTAGTTTTTTTTTTTACAGATAAGCCTCTTTAAGCTCAAATAAGTTTTTTTTTTTTTACAAATAAGTCTCTCCAAGATCAACCCTGTAACAATAGTTATATTTTGGTAAAGTTTTACAAATGTTGTTTCGTCTTACAACAAGATGTGATACAACCAATTAAGAACAAATGTTTTTACATAAAGAATGAATTTGTACAAAATTTCTTATTCAAAGAGAAATCTTTTTCTTTCTAATCATGAAACTTCTTATATAGTAGCTCAGATGAAGATGATTGTTATAAAACCTTGAGGGTTTCTCATTTGTTTGTTTCATCTGTCTCCGTTATAGGTTCCTTGAGTGTCCATTAATGCATCAAATATTTGCATTAAATGCATTTCACCAAATTATCACTCTTTATCTGAACAAATAAGTTATTTATCAACTTTAGGATACAAAGTGAACTATTTGTAGTGTGTGTCAACGAGAAGCAACTTCTACATCGACTTTTGTTAGTTGTCTCCGTGATTTCAAGAATTTGTTTGTTCTTAGTTCTCGTGCAAAGCATGACTTCAATCACTTTAACAGATTTGTAAGTTCTAAAGAGCTTTCTTGATTTGATCTGTTAAGGAATCAATTAAACATGCAATAAGTAGTTGTTAGTTATTATAAATAATATGAATTTAATACTTTATGAAGTCAAACTGTATGCTTTGGTTGATGACACACCATTTGTCTAATGTTTTGCATCTTATGCTGTGTCTGATTTGCATTTTACAAAAATATTTTCTCCTAGAAAAACATTTTATTTGTTAACATCAAAGCTTGAAAGTTTGAGGAATCCAAGATTGCCTTTTGATTTAACAATCTCTCTAATTTTTGATGGTGACAAACACATTTTTGAAACTAAAGTTTTTCTTAACATGGAAAGTATTTTTGTTGATTAAGACGAAATGGTTATTGCGAAATAACTTAATTTGGGAAAATCATTTTTATCAAAAGTGAGATTTTCTTCAAGACATGGAAGTGTTATAAAATCATCAGACTAGTACAAAAGACCATCTCTTAGACGTCGTGTATAAGATCATACGAACAATTTGATTTTACGCATACATTCATTTAAAAGATGTATATTAACATAATTTTTTAGCATTATTAATAATTAAGCATGTATGTATATTAGCATGCTTATTCATTTTAGAGCCTATTAGAGTGAGCATATCAAATTATTTTTGCATATTAGAGCATATGTTGCATATCAGAGCCTTAGATATCTATCAGAGCATCTATCATGCATATCAAATTCTAATGTATTTATCATAGCATATGTTTATAGGATATAATGTATTTTTTTTTTATATTAGAGCCTATTTTTTAGAGCATATACTTATTCATGACATTCATACCAAAGCATATAGAAGTACGAGATAAAAATGCATAAGGGACTTCCCTTGAAAACATGCATGATTTAAAAAGCATTATATTAGTGTATACTATTATGTGTTAGAACAAAGTAGAAACAATAATAACAAAATCATAGTAGATCATAAAAAAAAAAGATCAAAAGCAAAATTTTTATTCCCCCATTGGCACTAGCAAAAAACTATTCATAAGTGCAACACCCTTTGAGATTAGCCTTCATCCTCATCAAAGCCCAAATCAATGTTTAGATGACTAAACAACTTGTGGAATTTTCTTTCATAATGAACTTGTCTCTTGTAAGCATACTAAAGAGCTTTGAAGAAACCAAAAAGGAGGTTGTCCCGATCAGCTTCAAATGCAAGGGTGTAGACACCCAATTTCGTTTGGAGTATCCAAAACAAAGCAAGAAGACTTTGAAGACCTAACATAACATTAGAATGGAATAGAACAAACATCAGAATGGACCAGAACAAACATTAAGAGACCTAAAAGCACAAATGTTGAGAAGGAACTCGAAACGGACCATTCTTAAACTAGAACGAGTCGTTCCAATTCACCAAAAAGGCATAAAAATCCTAGGTCAGAATGGGCCATTCCTAAATCCAGAACAGGTCGTTTTGACCCAGGTTGTTATATGAAAAATTTGAATATAGAACAGGTCGTTTCAAATTCAAATTTTGGCCACAAAAGATTAATTTGGAATGCCCCATTCAGAAACCTTCTCTCTCTCTCTCTCCCTTTTGTATTTCTTGAGATTTGTGAGGACTTTGTGAGCACAAGACTACCAAAAAGCACCTAGACCCCACATTTAAAGGAAGAATTATATAAAAGCTCGCTTCAGAGGTATTTTCAGTAATTTCTGTCTCTCTTTATTTAAATCGCTTCACATATATTTGTTATAAACAAGCCATAATCATTTAGGTATTTAATTTTCAAATGTGTGGGGCATAAACCCCTTTCCTTCTATATAAATAATCATAACAATATGTAAATAATTAATAAAAAGGGAATTGAATGTTCAAACTATTATTCTTTATTACGCTAATTTCATCATAGGGTACCATTATAGGACGTTGTATGGTGCCTAATACCTTCCCTACATATAATTGACCCTCGAACTCGACTCTGGCTATGAAGGCCAAAGTTGACTTGTTTGAAAATATTTTCTTTTTTCAATGTTTTGTGTAAAATATCGGTGGCAACAGATCTTTTCTTTTTCTGATGTTTTCAGTAAAACATCAATGGCGACTCCTTCAAACTTTTTTCTAAAATCATCGATTAAGGATTAGTCTAGTTTTTAAGCATTCCCTAACCGATGAGATTTTCAAACGGAAGTCTAAACCATTTGTGGGCAGGATCGAAATTTTTTGAGTTTCGACAGATGACAACTTTGCTGGAAGGTATGAATTGACGAGATCACATTGATGCTTTTAACAGTACTGTTCATCCGTCATGAATCTCGAAGAGTTTTATCTACATTGCTATAATGTTTTTAGCGATAATGTTCATGTGTCAGGATATTCACTGACTTTTATCTCGTTCGTCGGGTAAATCAACAGTACAAATCTCACCAGAGGCACGAACCTACGAGATCGCATCCATGTTTTCGACATTACTGTTCATCTATCACGAATTTCAGTGATAATGTTTATCTCTTAGGATATTTGTTGATTTTTATCTCGTCCATCCTGTAAATCAACTATACAGATCTCATTAGAGGTACGAATCGACGAGATCGCATCGATATTTTTGACATTATTGTTCATCTGTCACGAACTTCAAAGAGTTCTTTCTCGATCGCTATAATCTTTTTTAGTGATAATGTTCATCTATTAGGATATTTGCTAACTTTTATCTCGTCCGTCGGGTAAATCAACAGTATATATCTCACTAGAGGAACAAACTGACAAGATCTCATCGATGTTTTTGGCTTTACTAACATCCTGAAAATTTTTACTAATGTAATAATTAATTGTTTTGGTTACACTAATTGCATTTGGAACTAAAAACAAGATGTAGTGTCCATCAATCTAGGCATGACAATTAAAATTGCACATGTGAATACTTGATCCAATTTTAACAAGAAAATCTCACTTTAATTGATTACAAGTTTAAATATTTTCCAACTTAAAGAATTGGATTTGGGGATATAACTCCATAGCCCCTACCTACATGCGTAGGGGATAAGGAGTTATATCCCCAAACCCAATTCTTTAAATTGGAAAAAATTATATACATGTATATATATATATATATA